GTGCAAAAGGGGAAGATCATCAGTGAGATGGATTGATTCAGTGACTGAGGTAATGGGGGTAGGTGTGTCAGAGACAATAAGGTTGGCACAAGATAGAGCAGGACTAAGGGCTGTTGTACATAGGGTTACTATGAGCGACAAGCCACTCAATGGCACATAACAGCAGCAACAACAACAAGTATTTGAGTTAACTGAAGACTTTAACCTGCTTCAGATTTGACTCAGAATAAAGTGAGGCTTAATTTAGAAATGGCTTCCTGAGGTCAGCATGGTTTACTTTCTAAACAATTCATTTTTTTCTTTCACCTGCATGTACTTATGGAATGCATATTGTACACCCAGCCATGAACCAGATGCTGGGCTATGTGATAGAGATGCAGAAATGTCTGAAATAAACAGTATTTTTACCCTTGTAGGGTTTATGTCCTAGTCTACTGTCTTTTGGGGCCATAGATATCTATGAGAATATGAAAACAAAACATCATTTTCCTTAATCTCTTTCTCTTCTTTCTCCCACCCCCCACCCCCCGCTCCATGCACCCTGCAGGTAAAGAGCCCCTACATTCACAGTTTTTTTTACCATTCCGTGGATTTCAGAAAACAAAGCTCATTTACCAAGGGGAGGCTCCTCTCCTAATGCCTCAGCTCCTCCATTGCTCTGGTTCCTCCCCTGGTGCCTGATACTTCCTAGAGAAGACTTCCGTCTGTTTTTCAGAGATGATGAAGCAGTAAACCAGCGGAACTCAACAACTGTCTTTCCTTGTGACTTTTGAGCAAGTTCCTTGTCCCTAAATCTCTCTCTAATCTGAAAGTTGGAAAGGCTGGGCTGGAGTAACTCAGGGTAGGCTTGCTGGGGAGCTTTAGAGGCAGACAGAAAGCTTCTGGGGGTAAATTGCTGCCTCTGTGCTCATTAGCCAAGTAATTTTGAACAGTTTTTTAATTTATCTGAGCTTCATTTCTCTTATACATGAAAGAAGAAAAAAAAACCCCACAGCCCAAACCCACAACACATTAAGAATGAAACTGAAATAATGTATATGAATTGGCTGAGACAGAACTGTTACCAGCTTTGTTACAAATTGTCATTGAAGGAAATTTCTTTAACAAGTTAAATTGTTACCAAAGCTAATGTGCTTGGCATGAGAAGCCATGGTGGCACAGCAGTTAAGCACTCATCTGCTAACTGAAAGGTGAGTAGTTAAAATCCAACAGCCAGTCTGCAGGAGAAAGCTGTGCCAGTCTGTTTCCATAAAGGTTACAGCCATGGCACTCAGAAGCAATGATTTCATAAAATATTATGTAACATGAGAGAAGCTAGAAGGCATTATGCAGAATGAACTCAGTCTCATGAGGACAAATACTGTATAAGATCATTATAAAAATAGAAAGATAACTAAAAAGATGTGGGTAAATGTTCAAAGGGGGAAGAGAAAAGGGGACTGACGGTAGGGAGGGTGGAAATCACAGGGTCGCAGAGTCTGGTGGGTTGAGGGAGGGGGTGGAGGAATTAGCATAGATCCAGTGGGAACCTGAAAAGACAGGTGATAGTGGGCATAGAAAAATGATTAATGTTCTAAAACACAGTGTATGGGCGTGATCATATGAAACACAATGTGAATAAATGTAAGTGTGAAACACAGTGTGCATGAATGAAACAAAATGTACATGAATTTTGTATGCAAACCAATAGAAAATTTTTAAAGCAAAAAATTAAAAAAAAAAAAAAGAATTTGGCCTTAGAAGCCCCCTCTGCGGGAGTTTTACACTGCTTATAGAAAGGCACTGAAAAAGGACAATAGTGAAGAAATTCACTCTATATTAGATAGACCTGGCTTAAGTTCTTGGCTCCATTATTAACTAGTTAAGTGGCCCTTAAGTCTTTGGCTTCATTATTAACTAGTTAAGTGGCCCTAAACTCTCCAATGTTCACTTAGTTTTAATTTCTGAAAGACGAGGCAATGATATTACAAGTTGGTATGTACCTACAAGTAGGAAGCAACTCATAGCAGACCCTCCTGTGGGTTTTCAGAGGCTATAAACACATGGGAAGAGATTGCCCATCTTTCTTCCCCACAGCAGCTGGTAAATTTGAATAACATTCAGTTTGGAGTGCGACTCTTCACTATCAAGGCACCATAGCTCCCTCGTCTATACAGGATGGATATTATGTAATATTGTGCAAGGAAGCATCTGTTACAGTGCTTGGCAAAAAAAAAATACTCTGGTTTTATTGTTGTCTAGAAGGGTGGAGGGACTGCACAAGAGAGGAAGACCCTACATAAGATGGCTTGACTCAGTAACTTCAGTTATTGGAATAGGTATGTCAGAGACCATCTATTCCTGGGACCTTATTTTTTGCTATTTCCTTCAAAGCAGCCTGAACTTCTTCCTTCATCACCATAGGCTCTTGCTCATATGTTGTTTCATGAAATTCTTCTACGTCTGTCAATTCCTTTCGATAATACTTCCTGGATCATTTAATACTCTGCCTAAAGCATCTTTGATTTTAGCAACTCAAGGTTTCAATTTGTTCTTCAGTTCCTTGAGCTTAAGAAATGCTGAGCGAGTTTGGCCCTTTTGATTTTCTGACTCCAACTCCTTGCACATTTTATTGTAATATTTTACTTTGTCATCCTGCGCTGCATTTTGAAATCTTCTATTCAGCTCTTTAGTATCATGAATTCTTCCTATTGCT